CAGACTCATTAAAGACAGCCCACAACTAAAGCTATAGATAAATATTAGTTACTGGACTTGCTTGTAAAAGAACTGAAAGTGCAACTCCGATTTGTTTTTTTCCAAGGAAACAATAATCACTTACTTATTTATTTCTATTCCAAATGACTCCTCTGAATACTAACCAGTGATTTTAGTCTTTCCTAGGATTCCTTTATATAATATCTGTGTTTGATTCTTACTAAAACCTAAAAACGCTGATGTTAAGGAGCTGAGTTTGCTAGCTAGGTTTTTTGTCTAGCTTACTTATGAAACAAGTACCACAGTGTCAGTCACAAAGCAAGATTACTAACTTTGCTGTCCTTGGGAGGGTGTGTTTCAGTTACGCATCCGAATGCAAATCCCTCGTACTCCATAGTGCAGCTCTGAGACCAAAGTTACTGGATATGTTCTGGTATAACAGGGAACAAATAGGGACATCAAAACCCCAATTACCTAATTTTTCTGGAATTCTTCCAGAACAAGTTCCTGTGCTGATTGGGACCCAGAGCTTCTGGACACGTGTCATAAATCCTTCCTGCTAGATCACCCAAGTACATCCCACAGGGTGAAAGAAGTGTGATTCCCCTCTTCCATACAGCTGGAAGCCCATCAGAGGGGGAATAGCGACATAGAGCTGGAAGCCCTTCAGACAGTAAATATTAGTTTGCCTGATGACTTGGTTGAGTACCCAGTGAGAGCAGAATGATGCTTGTTCTGATTTGCATTGTCTGCCTATGATTTACTAGAGGTTTATATGTGCTGTAAAGCATCCAAGGTGGTGAGTCAATGGGCTTAAAGAGAAGCAGAGCAGGACTGTACCTCAATTTGCACGGACTAATGTAATTTTCATCAGCATAGAATGCTTGACTGCTCCTGTACAGAGACTAGCACTCAGAACCATTACAAGTAAGAGGCCAGTGGAGAAACAGTTTGGTAACAGCTTCAAAGCCCCAACTTGTCAGCTTTTAAACTTTAAAAATGAAGGCTGGTGGTTTACAGTGAGCATAATGATAACATAAAAATGTTTTCAAGGACATTCTTCATATAAAGAAAGCAAATCTGAGACCCTCAGTCAGCAAAGCTCTTTCCTTACTGACCTGAGTTTAACATTATGGTTGATAACAATCTTTACTAAACAAGAATACAAGTTCAGTCTTCGGTACGATCCCCATCAGTACAAATGAAAGACCAGAAGCTCAGATTATATTCTGTGCTACTTGTAGACTTTAAGGCTAAAACAACAAACAATTAAAAAGTCATTTTAAAGGCAAATACCTCTACAGAAAGAGCTATGGCTTCTTTCTAGATGTATTTGAAGAAAGCTATTTAATCCACTAAGTGTTGCAAGATTAGCTGTTATTCAATACTTATGGCAAAGAAACACCCAGAGTCTTATGAAAAGTATGGTATTTCTGTGATAATTGTTAGAATGAAATATAATTGCTGCTGGCTAAGTGATCCCTACTAGTTTTTTCATTAATACTGCGGTAAATGACATATCCAATGACAGCGTAAATGACATATCCAATGACAGTCTAAATGACAATTCAAGAGAGGTGTGCAAAAAATTGTCCCCTAGGAGTATCAGTTTATCTTTTGGATCATGTCCAAAGTTCTCAAAATTCTTTGAAATTCTTTCTATTGATTTCAATAGCATCAGGCCTCTAATACAGTGACTCATTCTATATGTTGTTGAACCTGTCAACAGTTTAGTAGTTTCAGTATTTGCCTTGAACAGATGTTTCCACATTATTTTGATCTTTTTCTACTCTTAGTTTTATTTAAAACTGCCATTTTTGTCTACCATTCGCATTGTTTTTTTAGAGTTTTCAGAAAAAAAATGTAGACATTTTTAAATTAAGAAAGACTCTACTTGGCAGAGTACTATGCCTTCTTCCCTGTATAAGTGGGTTCAGCCTCTGCCCAAGTTAATAGCACTAATAATATAACTAAGAAAAACAAAACCACATTCAGAGAACTTAAAACACAATCAAACCTATCTGTTAATTAAAACCCATCAATTGTCAACAGAAGATACGATATTCAACTTTTAGAATCTCCTGACACATATGCATGGTATTAAATTTCATTTAGCTGTTTTCTGTTCTTGTAACCTCATTACAAGTTACATTGTCATTGTTGGGTTTTATTTTTCAGTTATACTCATCTGTATGTGAGTACAGAAAATTCTTTCTATGAAAATAATGTAAACCACTTTTCTTAAGGAAAGATACAGTTCGGAGACCAATGAACATCTATTTGTTGACTTAGACAGCAATATTCTATTTATGTTAGTAAATACATGTGCATGTGTAAATGTAAATATGATCAATTATAATATGACAAGTGCCAAACCCTGTTTCAGGGTGGAGCTGGGGCTTTGCGGCACTGGCAGTGAGAAAATGTGGTAAAGTTCTATCAGCAGCTGCTTGTGGCATTCTTGTCTTCTGAAGGAAAATCAAAGCATTTGTATCTCAACAATAAAATCTTCCATCATTTAAGTCCAGATTGATGTATAGATTGCAAACAAGGAGAAGAGTAGCATACACAGAACTATGATGGTTGCTTTGTCTTTGAGGTGATATCTCTAACAGAGGAATATGGCATAGCTTGTCTATTGCTTTACAAATTTCCAGAACTATAGTCATACTATAACTAGTGCAAAAGGGTTTTTTATTCTTTCTCTTTATTACTGAAAATTTGCCTGCTATTAAATCATAATTGCACATAGCCATGAACAGAAATTTGTTTCACTGTGTTTAGCTTAGAGAACTCAATCAACATTTTAACTCTTTCTGGGAAAGAGCTAAAAATCTGTTTATTTCTACAGCTTTGCAGTAGTATATGAAAATAACTTGAAAACATTGAGGAGGTGAGAAGAACAGTGCTTCATTTTATAAGCAGTGTGGAGCTGGAGGTGAATACTTGGGGTAAAAGCTGTCAGCAGTGCACTGGATAAATGCTTTAATGCTTTAACCCTTCTGGTTTTAATATTGTTATATTTTCCATTCTACCCTGTAAGAACAGAGTTCTACCACTAAGCACTATAAAGAAACCCCATAAATCATATGAATAAAAGATGGATTGGGATTTGTTATAAACAAATGCTAAGGAATATCACTTAAACTCAAGCATTTCTTCACAATGCAAACCCTCAGAGGCCATGCATACATTTAAAGCCATAACATAGGTAGACCTGCTGTAGTACTCCAACCAAGTTCTCTCCCAAATGTTCATAAAAGCCACTCACTTCCTATGTTTCTTTATGAAATGCCATAAAATAGTCTTTGGCTACGTCCCCCTAAAATGCTGAAGCAGTTGTACCTAACTTTTATTGTTATCATCTAGTGAACTGTTCTCACCAAAATAGGCTATGACTCTTGTAATTTTAGAACTTGAAATAAGTATATATTAAAAAAATAATATCACCAGTTTGGAGAATAGACAATGTAGGCATCTAATCAGAGCTATGTTAGCTAATATGAATTTTCTTTAAATATTATTCTTCTCTGCAACAGGTAATGAATTGTGGTAATGCTAAATATGGCATATTGGTAAACAAATGCTTATGTTTTACTATTAATAGCAAATATATATATAAAAATAAATGGCTATTAATAGAGTGTTGCTTGAGAAAATCATTTTTTTTATGATCCAGATGACATAATGGTTTATAATCTGTATTTTTATCTTGTACAGTGGTAAATAAAAGGTAAAAGGGAAGTTTTTAATCTAGTCTATAATATCAATATTCTTGTGTTCAAGTCATTGACCTTTTTTTTCTCTTACAGAAGCAAGAGCTCAGTCATAGCCAGCTGGCCAATCTTTTAAGCTACAATTCTAGTGTGAGTAGTAAATTCTATATAAATGTTGTGCAAATTTTAGGAGGGCATGGGGGAGGATTTTCTTCCAAGACAGAAAAATATGTCAGGAATTTTTATTGCAATTAAATAATAAGTGGCACAATTGCGATGACACAATTTATGTCTGAAATACCTGTAAAATAATCATAGTAATTAAAATGTAATAGTCATCATGTAGGATCCAATTTACTAAAAAATTAATAATAGTGTTTTATTGCAATCTTGTGTCCACCTGTCCTGAGCAGTTGCATAGCAGTAAACTTGCTGTGAGTTCTCTAAAATGTAATAAAATATTATTATTTCTGGGAATTCTGGACAGATGTCAAACTGGTCCCAGCTTCTGCTCCTGAAGTATTTCCTGTAGGAGAGCACACTAGGATTGAAGCTAAGGTGAGGCATTTGAACCCAAGACTTAAATTGTGCAAAACCATGTGCCTCCTCTGCTGATGTGATGGGAAGCACTTGAATTTCCTGCAAGCCAAAGTTATTTTCAGCACAACTACCCAAAGGCTGAAATACCTACAGAAAACCCAGGTGTCCACAAGTCACAATGAGCTGAGACTTCGTACTGACAAGAATACCTGGGTTTGAATGTAGTGCATTCCCGGTTTTTGAAACCATTTTGCCAAATGGGAGACTACAGTATCCATCATGTTTCATGACAGACATCTCAAAGTATGCTATCTGAAATTCCCCTTTTAGGGTAAACCAATCACATGAAGTTAGGTAAGAGTATGAGGATGGCATTATAGTTTATTGCATTCCCTTGGCCATAAACCATTCTGTTCCATGAAATTTAGGTATCTTGCTTTCAGAGGTTTAATATATTAATGAAATTACTGCTAGAATTAATAAACTCTTTTCTTCTTGCTCCATCTATAATGACTCATTTTGATCGAAGGGACAGATTTGTTGTCAGAGACACCTCACATATCTTCTGGAAAATTTAAGGAAATTCCTCAAGGCAACTCAGAGGAGAAAACAAATCTGAATTTAGTATAATCCTTATTTCTGTGGGGCACAAATTTATATATTTATATACTTATATATATATAGCTGTTTTTCTCATTCCAAATATAGTAGGCTGTCCTTATATCTATCAACACAAACACTCTGCTACTTTATACAGCTTAAGGTTGTGCTCAGCTGGTAATTCATCTGGTTTTGTTTTGTTTTGGTTTTTTTTTTTTTTTTGTAGAGTACGCTGAAAATGCCATTAAACCCAGAAAAAATTCAGGATCTTTCCTGTTTCTGTGCATCTGTTGCCCATTCAGGCTGATGCTTGGAACAGCATAATCCTCTTGACAGAGGACTGGGGATGTGCATTTTTATTTCAGTTGACACTTGAATCATCAGATTTGAATAGCAGAATGACACAGTTGTTTTCCATATGAGGTACTGGCTTTTCCCAAACTGTTGACCCAGGCAATTCTTTACGTGAGAGTAACCTGTTTAGTATGATGAAGTATCCCATGTCCAGAACTTAGCTCTGCGTTATGTAGTTGTTCTTTGTTTCTTTTCTGTTATCCAGCAGAAGCTTCAGAGACCCTTCTGTTGAGGACTCTGTCATTAAGAAGGGACTTTTTTAATGACTGACAGTTGTGGATGTCATGTTTACTGGATACTATCCTCTAACACAACAACTATCTTTTGAAAAATCACAAGAACAAACTAATTCTCAGTAACTGACTTGAAAAAACAATTTTTGATACTTTCATATCTCTGACATTTAATTTTGAGAATTCCCAGATGTTTACATATGGTACTGCAGGAACAGTAGTGATCCTGTATGGGGACGGTGACAGGGTTATGTGAGGTACTTCACAATCTGCTAGAATGTGACAGTCCCAACCCTGCTGAGGTTTAAAAAAAAAAAAAAAAAAAATAAAAAATTAAAAAAAAAAAAAAGCCATGGCAGATAAAAATTAGAAAAGGAACCAATAAAGATATAACACAACCTTTTCAGAGAAAGATAGCAAATCAGTGACAGTATCAGAATAAGAACCAAAGTATCTTTTGCCCATCCCAACAACTGCTTGTCCAGGTTATAATCCAATTGAGTAACTGCCAAGCATGTCTCATATTTAGCCTGCCCAATGGAAACGACCACATTATAAGCCTAAATATTCCCACCTTTCTTTAAAAACGTCAAGGAATAAATTCCTAAACAATACTGGGGATTCAAAATACCACCTGGTAACAGAAGTAGGCAAAAATTTTTGTACCAACTGTTATCTCCCCGTTGGTTCCACATGAGATTTATAGATCACTTTTCTTTAAAGGTTCAGTTCTATCTGAATAGGCTGTGATAGAATCATTCTATGCATATTAAGATAAGCAAATGACACAAGACATTTATATAAAGAGGAGACAAAAGTGTGACTGAATTGGGAAAGTCATGGAAACAAGACATGAAAGCTATAAATACATTTTAAATTAAAATCGATTGATATATTTATAACTAAGGTCAGAGTTGAAGAAACCTATACAAATATTTATTTTGTGCAGCTGCGGACACCAGTAGGTGCTGTTCTGAGAAACCAGGAAGGGCATGGCAGTCTAAGATTTACATTGTTTTAGTCTATATAAATTACATTATTGAAACAAGCTTTTTAATTTACTCTGTATTCTAGTTCTGTTTCTGGGTACAATCACTGTTTTTCTAGTGAAACTTAGTCACATAATACAAATATGTAAGCCAAATGTGAAATATAATGAAAATATAATTTAGTTATACTTGGCTCCACTAAGCTAAAGAATATCAAACACTATCAACAGAGATTTTCGTTGTGTGGTGGAATGTGATATAGTTGTAAAAGAAGGAATGGCGGGAAGAGTTTGAAGTTATGCTAAATTGGGTACAGCAGTTTAATTAGGGATTTGGACCTAAAGTGGTTTTTAAGTCCGTGCTTATTTTTAACAACTCCTTTAGTCTTTAAATTTGTGTAATACACTGATGTTTTACAAGCATGTGTTATTTACTAGAGCATGTTTACTGTTGAAGCAAGTAAGTTTACTGCCAAATAATGCTCCCTAGCTGTTTTAAATGTCAATAAGTAACAGATAAGTTTTCACTTAAGTTTATCACCACTCTTTGGGCTGCTAAAAATTTTGTAAGGTGGCTAGAGGTCTCCAAGAGGCTTCAGCTCATAGAAGCAAGAATCCAGATGTTTATTCTTTCACCCAGTTTTGCCAGAGCTGGACACAGGAGCTCATATCCAGATTGCTTTTGAATCTGAATCGCCTACTTTGGAAGTTAGGGCTTCCTTATATTAGGTAGCAGTGTTAAGCCACCTTCAACTGTTCTAATTGATTGTGTGATGAAAATCATAATGGAGATAGAAGGTATGTCTGAAAACTCAGTCTGCCCTCTCCTCAGCCATCATAGCTCATAGCTAATCAACCCACAACAGACAGCTTCAGAAATGGTGCTGTCAGAGTACTAGAGTTGTGCTGAATATCCTGTTCTGCTGCCCATGCTATGGTGTCAGAAATTTACAGCAGAAAATCAGGGTGCATGGCAGTACCCTACTGCCACCTTTAACACCATGGCTAGATTCTTCTACAGTTATAGTGATAAAAACACCACAGTAAAAGCCAAAACACATTTCTTGACCAGTAGTGTTTCATTTCATGCTTGCTATATGGATGAATATGCATTCTCTACTGTATTCCTATAGGACACCAGTTATCACAGTTTTAATTTCACTTGTATCAAAAACAGTCAAAGATTATATCCCATTATACTGATACTAATAACCATACTAAGGTCCCAGCCTAGTGAATTGTGTTATATGGACGAACTCTTGGAGTCATACAGTGATAGTTTCCATGACAGCCACACATCAATCACAATACAGATGTACAGAATCAGGAAACAGACTGTGCTTACATCCACCTTGAAAATGCAGTCTTCAAAATGTGAAAGGATGGCAGGTATATTCCCTGTTTTGAAGAGAGTCATGGGTAATTATTTAAAAATGGAGTCACTTCAGTTGGCTTTCAACAATTACAAGGCATTGCTTTAGTGAACTGTGCAAAGTGTAGTGATAATGATAGCATCACTGATGGAAAATAAGAATCAATATGACCATAGAATCATGGAAACATAGAATGGTTAGGGTTGGAAAGGACCTTAAGATCATCAGGTTCCAACCCCCCTGCCATGGGCAGGGACACATCACACTAAACTATGCCACCTAAGGCTCTGTCCAACCTGGCCTTGAACACTGCCATGGATGGAGTATTCACAGCTTCCCTGGGCAAACCATTCTGGTGCCTCACCACCCTTACAGTAAACAATTTCCTCCTTATATCCAATCTAAACTTCCCCTGTTTAAGTTTTAACCCGTTATCCCTTGTTCTATCACTACAGTCCCTAATGAAGAGTCCATCCCCAACATCCCTATAGGCCCCCTTCAGACGCTGGAAGGCGGCTATGAAGCCTCCACGCAGCCTTCTCTTCTCCAGGCTGAACAGCCCTAACTTCCTCAGCCTATCTTCATACGGGAGGTGCTCCAGTCCCCTGATCATCCTTGTGGCCCTTCTCTGGACTTGTTCCAAGAGTTCCATGTCCTTTTTATGTTGAGGACACCAGAACTGCACACAATACTCCAAGTAAGGTCTCACGAGAGTGATAACTATTAAGGTAACTAATAGATGAAATTAAACAAGCTAATAATTGTGCAGTTTAATAGTTCATACTCTGATCTTATACAAATACTGTCCTATAATTTTAACATGCCTTTATTTGCCCATATTATAATGTTATCTAACAGTGGTTCTTTAGTAATTAGTTTAGTTCTTTAAAATGAAATCAGTTTATTTGCCAGTCACAATATCTACTCCATAACAAAATAATACCATAATAAAATAATACCATAATAAAATAATACCATAATACAAAAATGCAAGCACCTTTATATGTTTTTTTACTTCTCTCTTTGCTCTAGTTTAACAAAGCTTTGAGAGATTTCTCAGGCAGTAGCAGCTCTTATTTTTGTAGCAACTACGCAATGACAACTGCAATTGTATTTCCTAATTAAGGCATAAATCTTCTTCCACTCCTTCCATGCTTAACACCTGCCTAGGACAACAATTTTCCAGTTATCTTGACCAATCTGAGGTGCTGCAAAGGCACAAAGAAGTTTGTTTTTCAGTCCCTCCTTCACTTATTTTTGGAGTGAATCTGCTTCAAGCTGAAAGCTAAAGGCTGCACATTCTTTCCACTTATATGCACCATTAATTGCAGCTTATTCACAGAACAAATCACCAATTGCTCAGAACCCTTTCACTCTTAATGGGCATTTCCAAATGCTCTTATCTCAGCAGCAGGATCTTCTGCATCAGGAAGAGCATGCATTCACCTTTAACTCTGCTTCTGCTGCATCATGGCACTTAATCATCAAAAGTGGCAGACATCATCTGGGTCTTGCCATCCTGCAATCTTAAAATGTCCAACCCTGGGAAACAAACCACTCTAACTTACTTTACAGAAATTGCAAGAGTGGAAAAAAAACATTGAACAATAAAGTAGCAAATGCTGAGGAAGAGTTTGAAGGAATTAGGAGGGCTACAGACAAACTTTTTCTCCAGTCAGTTTTCCTGATGCTTTGTTTGCCTATTTACAGTGAAGGTGAACAATGGCCTGAAAATAGACCATAGTGTAACTTCTTAAATATTTTTATACATTTTTCCTGTTATGTGAATGTACGCTACAAGACAGTGGAATGAAAAGAGGTGCTTGCTTGCCCTCTAGCTTCACTGTGTTCTGACTAAAAATAGTTACAAATACATTTGATTCTACTGATTCTTTTTTTTTTTGTAGGAAACAAAAAGATCAAATTAAGTTACAGTGCCCTGAGCACAAATCTACTGTGTTACTGAGGTTGTTCCAATGAGTAGGAAAATCATGCAATTGAACAGATCATATTATAAAAAGCAGTCCACTTAAGTGGAACTAATTCCCAAATGTCAAACCAAAACTGAATTATTGCATTATAATGTTTACTGTCTTCAATTTTATGGATAGCTTTTCCAGATATACATTGTAAAATGCTATTGTATATGATAACATAACATAAATCAGTCAAATACAATTTGGACAAGAAAAAACAGAACGTTTGATGCCTGTACTGAGTTTGTGTATCTTATGCATAGGGTGCTATTTTGATTTTCATGAAACTGAAATCTGATTCTAAACACATTAAAGTAGCCAAGCTCAAATGTGAATCCTCTTGGTCATACTGTGTACATACAGAAAGCCTTGGGATGTAAGCTTTTGTCATTTAAATGCTCAGTTTTGATTAAGAGATATCCTGTCATAAAATAATGACATTTCTTCCCCCTTACTTTTAATCACCCTATTTCACTATGGTTCAAAGTGCTGTCAACTGAGAAAATAAGTTATATTATTTGTGCTTTTCGTTCCTTTTAGAAAACATGAAGTTTTCAGCAATGTTATTCCAGTGCCTGGGTGGAGGAAGGTACATTATTTGTAAAATAAAGGTTTCTTTAGCACAGAGGGGCTTGGTAAGTTTGCCAAAGATAGGTTCAATGGACACATTTAAATTTATAAACTCAGGGAAATTAATTCATGAGATTCCCATGAAATATTTAACATTTTGTACAGTCTTTCCTGTGCTCCTACACTAGTACTTCAAACTCCAGAGAATACATGTTATTCTACAAACAGAGGCACAATTATATTATGCATTATACTAAGAAAGAGAGAAGTTTTAAGAAAAACTGGACCTCAGTGTTGGAGGAGAATTCCTGGATTATGAAATCCAAGAACCACATTATAAAATTCCTTTACAATTTCTTAACCTTATCAAGCACTATTGTGTCATTACACCAGAGCTGTTGGCTATCAGAGCAAACTGATTTACCAGATGCCCTGCAGAGTACTCATACCACACACAGTGCTAACATCAGATGCCAGAACCATGAAATTATCTTGCTTCAGCTCACTGGTACTAGAGACATGGGCAGGATTTTGATGAGCTTGAAGTAGACATGATATTATAATAGCATAGACAAAGTTCAATGAATGAGAAGAGTGCAATAATTTGACAATGATTCAGATGAAGCTAAATTTTAACAATAACTCAGCTGCCCCTTCCTCTCCATGCAGGAGAGCTGCCACAGAAGTATCATACTAGTGGGTTTGGCCTAATGGCTTCTCTTGGGAACCTATTTCATCTCAGGGAATATTTTTAAATCTTCCAAAGCCAGGAGTTACATCAAGAAAAGAAAATAAAAGTAAGACAAAGTAACATTTTACATGTGCTTCCGGATCCTTTCTGGGTTAGACCCGCGAGCTTTATAAAGGTGAGCAATAAAAGCTGGTGTTGTTATGTATCCGTATCCTGTACAGCATTCTTTGAAGAGAGGTAAAACATTTGCAGTAACAGAAAATCAAAACAATACGATCTTGCCTCAGAGTATATTTAAAAATTATTTCACTGGGCCATTTGAAATGTTTCATTGCATTAATAGTAAAAAACCAAGAAAAAGAAATCTTATAATTATTTCCTATTGTTCATAATTTTGACACCAAAAAACTTGCTAGTGACATCAACAATCTATTTCTGTCACACACCTCCATCACCCAGCTTGCAGCACATTCTGGGGGGCCAGGTGTCTCCAATTTGGAAGAAATTATTAAAATCTGTTCAGCTGGTTCTGCATCAAAGAACACTGTGATTGCTTGGTTCTAGGGCTTTCTGCCATCTGAGGCTGAAATGGCAACCATCTGTTAAGAATTCCTTCCCTGAGTTGTTTTATTCATATTCTATAGCACAACAGCAAAAAAAAAAAAATAATCCCTTAAAAACTGAAAGACTTCTTAGTTATGGCTTGATTTTAAATGAAGTTCTGAAACATGCATCTGTCAGTTGTTCTTGAAGTTTCTGCACTGGCTGATAATACAGCAGGAAGAACAATTTGTTTACCATGAAATGTTACTACTTTTTGCTAATAATAACTCATAGGAAAAAGAAGCATTGTTTTGTTATTATTCATTAATCAATATAACACCTACAAGGTACTGAGAGCTCCAGAGATTGAATTAAAAAAAGTTCCTGGTATAGGGACAATAGGGTTTAAAGAATGGTTTTCTCTACAAAATGGTTTCTGCAAAATGAATATTCACGTTCTACTATCTAAGGTCACTTTGTCATTTAGGATAAGGGTTAATTTAATCAATTTGTGCTATTGCTTAAAATTAGATGTCTAATCAAAACCTAATCCTCTTGGTTTCTTCTGCCTTCGATGCCAAGATACAAACACATCCACAAAAAAAATCACCCTAAGGTTTATGTTTACATGACTCCCACTGCATTTAGTAACGGTGAAGACCTATAAAAAAAGGTTTACATTATTAAAAAAAATACGATAATGTAGATACATACAGGAACATCAATTCTGCAATTTCTAGATTTCTGAACCTTTTGGGTTTTGATTTTGATTTTTTAATTGGCGTTAGGGAAACAGAAGAGAGGAGCTAGATAGATATATAGTATCACTCTGTTGCCTGAACCATCTTCTGTCTGAAATTACAACCACACAAGATAAATTTTCCCCTTGAAGACCCTAAAGACAAAAAGAACAATGTGAGCGGATGATTTTACAGATGGATAATTGAGGAACAGAAAGGGATTGATCAGTGAGTTAACCAAAGCTTCAAAGGATAGCTAGAGAAAGGGTTGGAGTCAACTCTCCATTTGAAAATTCACGTTTGTGCATTCATCATTGCAACCTCTTCAGCTTTTCTGCAGGGATTCTCTTGTCAGTTCAATACACAACTGCCAACTCAACCTCCTCACATCTAGAGAATCCAGCACTCTGCCATCATGTCCCATATGTCAGGCTCTTAAGATGTGGCTTTATACCCAGTTCTCCTGAAGAGACTACAATGTTGGATTCCTGGAGAAAGTGGCTGCTAAATGAACACTTTTGCTGTATTTCAGAAGGAGGGAAAAAATGTTGGAAATAAAAACCGGGAGATTGCAGTGGACTGAAATAGGAGATTTCCAGCTTTTACTGCTCACTTTATAAAGCTCATGGGCCTAACATGAAAAGGATGAGGAAGAACACGTAAAATGTTACTTTTTAACTTACTATACATATGGAGCATTTTCACCCATTCTCCCACAGTTCCCTCCTATGGATGCCTTAAGAACAAGTAGGCTGGAGGTACTCTGCAATGACTGTCTGCCTTGCACTTTTTAAGCAGGAATTGATTTCTTGTCCTCTGCTTGTACAGTGAACAACACAATAAGGCCTTGACCATGAGTTTGCCTCATTGATACTGTATCCTTTGATGCATTATTTCAGTTGTTTTTAGATGACATGCATCATATATATATATATATATATATATAACAGGAAGGTAGTGGCTTTGGTTTTCATTTGTCTTTTATCAGGGTCTTATGCCTGAGTCTTTACTGATGCCAAAGGAAGACTGACTGACCATATACTAACATGGGTCTTATTTCTAGGCCCAGCAATATAGTAACAGTTCATAGAAATCATTCATAACCAGATACTTTTTATGGCTTCCTGTCATGTAATTACACCAACTTCTCTTTATTCTCCCTGGTGAAGACAAGCCATAAAAGGTGTTTTCTACCATACCAGCCTCTGAGCCATTGTTAATTTCAGCCAGAGCCTTGGTCAAATGCCAAGCCATTTTCACCCTTCCCCTTCTACTACAAGCAACAGGGGATTCAAAATGACAGAGCACCCAAGAGTAGGAGGCACCCACAGACAGCTAAGGGACAGAATGCATACCTTTTGATTGCCAGTAAGATGACAGTCTTCTCATAGAGGCATAACAAAATGCTGGACTCTCATGCAGAACAGCATTTATCTATCACTAGATGGACAGACAGATGTTCATGAGCATGTGTTTTCAATCTGTGTGTTTTACAACAGTTGGAAAGTGTATTTTACTGAGGATTGGAGAACTGCTTTATCCTATTGCCCCTCTTCTCAACAGAGCTCTCCTTACCAGCGAAGTTCAGTCTGCAGTTCCTTCCCAGAGCCCTCTGCACAGTCTATTCTCTCCTGCCATTGCTTGAGGACTCCAAGCCCCTGATAACTTGTGAGTTGATGTCCAACCAAAGCAGACCATACTCAGACAGCCCACTTAATTGTGATTAGCCCCAGGACTGGACGCTTACCGAAACAGCCTGTAGTTATCCCACCTCAGGCAAAGCATCCTCTGGGGACTGTAAACTAAGCCACGTACTTCTTTATTAATTCATTAATGTCCTTTACTGGCTCTGAGATCATTGTGGTAACAGAATTACTGTGTCCATGAACGCTATTTTATGGTGAAAAATAAAACTGGAGCTAAATTGAGTGTGACAGTGACCATAGAGAAGAATAACATTGCTAATGGAGCTCTTGGACTGCTCAGATTCCACAGGCAACACTGGGATTGTAAAACAAGACTCAGTTTGATTTTATACACAGGAACAACATCAAAACTGACAGAAACAAGGGGTGTGAGATAGAAACGTACCAAACCCATGTTTGTGTCAAAAGAGTTTTGACTAATGAATTGAAGACAGGAGGTCTGAAACAATATATTCAGTCCTAAGGTTAGTAGCAGCATTGTAACTTAGCCAAATACGCTTTTCTCAGCTCCATTTTGTTTATAGTGAAGGAGCTGCCTTGTTTCTTTGCTATTAAATTGAGGAGACTTCGCATCAAGAGACATCGCTTTATGGAACATTGTTATCACAGCAAGCAAAACACTGAACAGTCAGCACTACACCATCATGCTCAGCCCTGCCCCCCTCCAGAGCATGGCACAAGGGATAGAGGACTCAGGCATGCAAGGAACCATCACTAGCAGGTGGTGGAGTGTAAAACACTGGTGTGACTTCTAAGAAGGAATCTTCCACAGCACTATGGCTGGCAAGGAACCAAGAAGCTGTCAGAGGTGTTTGCAGTCAGTTAACAAAATCACATTAGTATGCTGGTTTGAATGAAGCTTGTTGCAATGTGGAGATCTCTGTTACGGAAATTTAAAACAGCAATTGTAGCATGCAGGCTCAAATCAAAGACCTGACGTACTTACTGGGAGGTGGAAATGAGAGAAGCAAAAACTGCCATTTGGTCCAATGTATAATGTGCCATGCAAATATTCTCTTCAAGTAATCACTTTTCAGAACTGAGAGAATACTCTAAACGTGCAATAACAATTGCTGGGATAATAACCAGGCAGTACTTTACACAGAACATGGAATAAATCTTCCTTTCTTTTCAACAAAGATTTAAGTAGACATGGTATATCTAGCAGCAATCAAACTAATTGAAACTGTCAAAGTTCAAACAGGTAGATAAAAAAATAGAGAAATTAAAATATTATTTTCCAATTCTTCATATTGAGCTGTCAGTATGATCAGAAAAAAAATAAAGATAAATTCCAACTTTAATAGCATCCAGTCATCCATGAACTCTGTTGGCACTGGTAGTGTCTTTTTTGGGGAGAGCAATAATCTCAAAGACTCAAACTTGGAAGTATTTGCAAAGTTTTGCTAGCAAAAATATTTTAGAGTCTGAAGTCCAAAGGAAAAAAAACATACGTGAGAGAAGTAAATGTGGTAATCATGTTTGTGCATGAATAAGCGTACGTAGAAACTCTAATGCAGAACACTTGTACGCTTCTATAGATTGTTTAGTTGACATGAAAACTTCCCCAAGGGAGATTTCCAACCCTTAAAAAGCATCCACACCCTTCAGAAAAATCCTTCTCAGAATATAGACAGATTCAAGGAGAAATCCTGTTAAAATAGTGTGCCATACATTGATGTAACTCATCATGTGCGTACACTCATTGAGAACAAGTAGAGGCATAAGTGAAACTGACTGTATAACTGAGTTTTACCGGGGGTTTTTCATGCTTGCTTGCATGCTTACTTTTATTCAAACTATGGAAAGTGTAAACTGGAAGAGAGGATTCTGATAAACTCCCTTCTGGGTGACCTAAAATTAAGTTTTCTTTTCTTACTTTTATTTTCTAGGTGTTTTTTTCTCCTTCTTCTACAACTGAACAGGCTGCTGCCTCCTGAAGCTGTGCCTCTTCAGTGTCACTATGAGTCCAACCCTAGGCTGCCTACCTTCTGGGAAGATGACATAGACAAGTGCCCTGAGAAGCTATTTCCCTGGGAGAACAAGAGCTGAGGGCATCTTAGCTTGAATGACAAGGCTGGCACATTCCTGCAGAATCAGCAGTATCCAGTGACCCTCCACATCTAGCCAGAACCAGGGATGATGCTGACATTTCAGAAAGCCGTCTGCCTTACTTAGAAATGCTTCCGCTCGTGTCTTTACAAGAAGTACTTCAGGAACCAGTACCACATCTGCAAAAATGGTGAAGAGCTGTTTCTGATCATGCTTCCCCAGAATCCTGTAAAAGCCTTTCATTTTCCTAGTGTACTAGTTGAACACTGTCTGCTGGTGCACCAGGCTAGAACTTCCAGACAATGATTAAAGTTAGATGACATTGTCAGGTCTCAATATCTAAGTTTCAGACTGTAACAGAAAGACCGGCTGTTGTACTTCCACAGCTCCTGAAAAGTTGTAGTGTGATGGACAGGACTCAAGCATTGTCTTTTCTTTGATAGTCAGGAATGAAAATGCTGTAACATTTGTTATTTTGAGGTAAATTATATTTTGGTCATGTGATTATTTATCCTGTTGCACCTCGTTCATCTGAAAAGGGACCTCTAATTTATTTTGAGTGGTGAGTCTATACTGACTAGATGAGATCAGGCCCCACAGAAAGCGCACTTGTGATTTAGATATTCTTTATAGAATGAGTGTTTTTAAGTTTGTTGGCTTAGATAACTGGGTGTCATTTTATTGAAACCAGTGGAGCAGTTCTGATTTACAGCAGCTGCAAATCTAGCCAGCTTTTACTTTTTCTGTTTATGTAGCTATTATCTGATAATGAAGTGTCCAGCTAGCCATGAACTTTTAGAGTTCCAATATTCCCTGCTAGGTTAGATATTAGAAAATATGTCTGTTTTACCAGACCATTGCAGATCTAGCATATTTAAGAAGTGCCAAGAGACTGAGCTACAAACACAACAGTAATATGTCAACAGCAAATACATGACCTGTTTCAGCACAAAGTTCCTCATCATGCTTTCTTTGAACCACTTCAGATAAACTCTGTGCTTTCTACATGGTTGACAGAAAATGATAGGCCTCTTGGGCAGGTGAGTTAGAGAGAAATTAAGAGTTTCATTTGCTGTCAAGGTAGCTTAGATACTAGGATGAGTAACTAGAATTGGATGACATAAATATTTCCCCAGTAGATTTATATTTAGCTTGAAATCTGAAGGGTTAGAATTCCAATTTTTACGTGGCACAGCACAAATAAAAAATTCTCTTCTACTAGTCCCAGCAGCATATGCTATCCCCAGAAGAGAAAAGCAATTAACCACTTGGTTTCTGTGACACCGGGGAGTAAAATCTGAAGTGTGGTTCAAAAATCAGTAGTGCTGGTGAAAATCTGATGTTATTGCAAAAAGCCCAAGATTTTATCATTGCATATTAAACACAGTCTACTCTAATACCTGGAAAACTACATAACTCTGGAGTAAATTATCTAAGCAGAAATAGCTGTGTATGCAGTATTCAGTTGCATATTGAACAGAATTATTGCTTTGAGATGCAGCAAAATGGCAACATATGTACTATTCATCTGTAAAATAAATGACACGAATGAGAGCCACATGGATGGAATATATTGAAATAATTAAGATGAAGGACATGTGAGAGCTATCATAATTTATAGAGAAAGTAACAAAAATTCAAAAGCAAGTGCAATTTTCAGTACTGAGGAGTTAGAGTAATTGGCATGATATATATTGCCATTCTTTTAAAAAAGTTGTTTATTTTGCCTTCAAGTTAGAATATCAGGTTTTGGCATGGTAACATCAGAAGCAGGGATATATACAAGTGCTTTCTGCTCTGCAGAAACAGACATTCAAATATCATAAGCTAATTTGGATCCTAACGTGGATATAAAGCATGAAGCAGAGGCTTTTCCCAGGGGATCACAGCTTCAGGGCTGTGCTCCACAGTGTAAGGGTCCCTACAAGCATTGGAATAAATCTGATAGAGACATAAATATTAAAACCAAAGCATTTGCTTTCTAGATCCCTGTTCTCCATAGTGAAAATTGTAATCTTACATTTAAGGATGAAGTCTTGTCATACAAGAACTGGGGATAAACAAGAGCAGTAAAAAGATGTCAGAAACAGGTCATGTGAACTTTTGGTTCCATGAAATCAAGACCCTCACAAGGGTATTTTTCTTAGATCCTCAAACTGTCTTTGGTATAGTTTTAAAACTAAGTATCTGTTCCCACAAATGCTATTTAGACATTCTAGCTCTGCTTTTTAGATAGTCCAGCTGGGAGAAGTGCCTGCATGTGGAGGTCTCCAAAGAAGTCTAAGCTGGGTGCTCACCCCTCTACATAGGGACTGTCCTCACCTCAGGGGTCTGTTTGGATGGTGCCAAATCAGCAAGAACCTTAAAGCCAGCCTGTATGTAAGAGCCATATTTCTGCATCCAGGAGGAATTCATGATAGTTTCCTTTTTAACTGCTGTTTCAATACTTTCCTAGGAAATGAAATAAGAGTGTAGTTTTCCTCAGCCTGAGGAGCAGTAGAAAAATACCCTAACCAGGCTACAGGGCTTATCTCTACATTCACTGCATTTGTTATTTATAGTCAATTGAGAAATGCTTCTTAGAAAGGGAACTGAAATGTAAGCCTCATGAGAGGTGTGGGATTCAAAGACTACCAGATCTTCATCCCAGCCAGACTGAGTGAATCTAAGTCTCCTGCTTCTCATGTAAATGCTCCAACATGTATATCCAATGTAGTTATATACATATGTTTATATACATATAATGTGTTTATATATACACATGCACATACACACACACATATAAACATAAATAACAGGGCACAATTTCATCAGCATCATCACCTCACTTGACTTGATATTCTTAATCTATATGACTGTGATTTAAACATGAGGAGGGATGAAAATTAAGCACGCTGTTTTTTGCAGGGTCACATTCTTAAAAATGATACCAAATATTGCATTTACATTTCTTCAGTTCATAAACAATTTTAATATATTGCTATGCTTAGAGTGAGTCCTTGGAATCACACAGGTTTTGCAATGAAAAAATATGCACAGTTGGGTTTATGCAAGGAAAGTTTCGCTGTTATCACTACATTCTGTCAAAATAAAGCCAAGCCACTAGAAAGCACAATGCACTAATCAGATTAACCCAGTGTTAAGGTTTCTGTGTAAAGCTGCACACAATATCAGAACAGTGCCATGTTAATGTGATAGTACTGCTGTTACAAGCAAACCTATACTGCTAGAGTCATAAGAATGTTTTATACAGATTGCTAGTACTGTCATAGCCTTAAAATATGAAGGTTTCATTATTGTGTTTCTTGAATCTGTAACATTTTAGGGATGATCTTTCACTCAGTGGAAGATGTTTTTCTATATATATGTCTGATTTCTCTCATTATTTATTTTAATTAAGTTCACCTTGACAATAAGTATTCCTGCCATGTCTTCCTTAATTATAAGACTTGTTTACTTGACACTAAGGCAATAAGGAAACATTTTACTGTAATACAGACTTTGACACTTCTGTTAAAATTTTAATTTTACACTGACCATGTACTTTTTCACCTTAAATCTCCAGATTAGTCACTATAAAAATGAAATCACACTGAATTACGGAAAATAAAGTTAACTTGAATTTCTTCAAATCTAACAATATTGGCACTGAGAAGACTTCACTTTCTAGTTACATTAAGTACAGAATTTATATTTGCTTTGTAAAGTGCTGTAGATATGCACCATCTTGCACTCTTAGCAACCATTATAATGAGGCTCTTATTCTTGCTGGCTTTTATTCTCCAAAACAAATGATCTCTATTATATTAACCTCCCTATGGCAGCATATATTCACACATATTAGCAAAACATAGTGTTTGATTGTTTGTTTTCTCTTCCTATGACAGAAACCCTACAACCAGACCCAATTTCCAGACAAAGAGTTAAATATTTATTCTTCTTGGTGAGTTTACTAATCCACCGTTTGTTATTTGATTGCACAATGTTTTAAAACAAGATGCAAAAGTCCTGGTAAAATAGCTGTATATCAGTACAATGTTGTGTCCTTCATATTAATTGCTTCCAACCTGTCTCTCACAAACCTCTGACACTGGAAGTGGCCCTTTTTTTTTTTTCACAGCGTGCTTTTCCGAGTGGACTAGGAGAACAAAATATGTTGCTTTCTGGAATAGATTGCTCCCTGGCTCCCTGGGAATGGAAGTGGCTTAACAGTTATAGCGATGGGATGGAACAGAAAGGATAATATATCTGGGATCTAGAGAGGAAGGAATATTTGGAATCTGAACTTAAATTTTCTTGGGTTTTTTGGACTGATGACCTTCCGCTGTATTGTCCTTTGAACGCACTGTCATGGAGCAACTACAGGGCACAAAACTTTTAAAGAAGTAGTTCAAAGGATTCTTTAGATTTATATTTAACAGTCTGCTGTATTTAAAACCATGATTTGCTTTGACTCAAGTGGGCTAAATGACATCATTATTATACTGTGGGAGGAAGAAATAGGTTTAAGTTGGAAACAATGTTGTTCAGCATCTTATCAACCATATTTATAAAAGTATTAATAATACATCAGGGCAAAAAATTGAACTAAAATCCTGAATAATGTGTTTCATATTGTAAACTTCTTAAACCATTGACACTGAGATGCTTTAGCATCTGGCACAACTACTTTTCTTGGCAAAAGAACAAAAAAATTATGTACTATATTTTCTTCTTGTTCTCAGATTTCTTTTGTATTGACTGATACATTTATGGCATATGACTGCATATATGTGCAGACAAATGTGTGAATAACTACAGAGAAAATTAGTTAACTCAGTATTTTAATCTTCAGCTATATCTGTTGATGTCTGAGGAAAACAATTCAGACATTTTAAGGGTGCAAAAGTTTGCCTTTTATTTAGTCTTTTTGGAAAGAAAAAGAAAAAATTGAAAGAGAAATATTTTTAGCAGCAACCTGTCTACTGAGAGATGTGTATTTTTTTCTTTAAAAATGAATAATATAGTATGCATAATTATGGTAACAGTAATGGCATAGCTATATATGTTGATGAAATATAGAAGCAAAAAAAAAAAATTACTTTTAAATACCAAATTTTCTACCTACAGCTGGTATTAAAGATAGGTTTACGGTGCATACTAAACATTTCATTGTATTTTGGTCGTTTCTTTAATATAGAGGTGTATTTAAAATAGCTGAAAATAGCAGCATTACTGTTCCCTGAGGAACAGAACTTTCGATTTTATAAGAAGTTTGGACAAAATAGACCTTCAATAATGAAAAAGTAAAAGAAAGTACTCTTTTCATGGCAAATCTTGGAGAATAGACATAAAATCATTTTAAACTGAAACAGCATAATACTGAGGATCAAAAATAACTCGGCAGAATAAATAACTGTAATGATATCTCTAGTGCTGTGCGCTTTCAAATTCCTTAAATGAGACATCTATTATTTTAGAATTTTTATGACGTTTGAGAGAGGAGAGGGGATAACATAAGTAAACATAACTTTATGCTCAAAAACTTTGTAATTCTTTCTGACTTAAAAATATTCGTTATTATTTTGCTAAAATCTATTGCCTTCATTGTGCCAGGTTTGCTATATCAAGCCTTAGCAAAGAAAGTCATGTGTGTACACACATCTTTCGTTTACCTCTGCTCCTAACTCCACATCTAACGATTTTCCAGAAATGGCTGCTGTGTTTTAAATGAATGTGCCAGCTCTTTTGGGAAGATGCTTATCACCTCCTAACTGGTGCCATAAAGGGACCATGTACAGTGCTACTGGGTTTTATGCTGCTTTACGTCTCAGTACCTTGTCGTTCTCGCTCAGAGCTTTTTATCTGTCTTAGCTTTTCACATTTTTTGTACAGTGGAAGTGTTTATTCATCTGCAGTTGAAATGGTATCTGATATGAGTAGACAACACTTCTGGAGTGAGTTTCTGAATGCATTTCTGTTGGAGGTAGTTATTACTGTCTAATTAAGAGACGTGCTCACTGGTAACTGAGGATTTTAACTGTAATTTGTTTCCAAGAATTTTACTTTCCTGTTAACTGAAAACTATCTACAAATTCAATAAACTCATTAACCTTCATATTACTATTAAAATAGCCTGGAACACAGACGTTCTGGGAATCAAGTTTAAAAGAAAACATGAAAGACAAAAAAGTTCAAATGGAATTACGAACTGCCATCTGCCATTTGTGGTAACCATGATACATTTTGTGAAAAAGAAAAACCAAACCAAACCAAAACCAAATCAAAGTAAAAAAAGGCAAACAACCAATCACTGATATTTCTGTACAGGATAATATCTGGGTAACAGGCTATATGATTCAAAGTTCAGAAGAGTTTCTGCTAGATATTATATATAAGATAGAGAAATAGGTTAGCATGTCAAACAGGGAAAGATCAAATGTGGTTCCCCCGTTGCTCTACTTGATTAAAGTTATTAATGAATCAAACAACATGGCACAAAAGACAGATATAAATTTTGCATATTGAAACACCCAGTTCTGATTCCTGCACAACAAGGACACCTTATACTTACACTACCTTCTGAAAAGGATTCTAACGTGTTTAGTCATTGAAGTATCTCTCATAGCAGGTGATACAGAGAGAAGTGGCTGTTTATCCCAGACATGAGAAGGCTCAGGGAAACCTTACCCATGTGCACAAATACCTGATGGAAGGAGTACAGAAGAGAGAAGCAGACTCTTCTGAGTAGTGTCCAGTGACAGGACAGAGGCAATGGGCAAAAACTGAAATACAGGAAACTCCATTTAAACATTAGAAAAAGCTTTTGTGTTGTGAGAGTGCTATGGAGCAAGTTGCTGACGAGCCTCCATCCTTGAAGATATTCAAAACCTGACTGGAGATGGTCCTGAGCAGCCAGCTCTGGCTGACTCTGCTGAGAGCAGGGTTGGACTGACAAGCTCCAGAGGTGCCTATCAGCCTCAGCTATGCTGCCATTCCCTTTGTGATATAGGAATATAATTCTCATCATAACAACTTGTTGAAATTCAGCTGTGCGGTTAGAGTTGCATAAGAAAAAGCTTTCACATTTTGAATTAAGAATACCTAGTGCTGATATAAATGTTGCATGATGCCCCTGTTCATTACATTTCTGATCAGTGCTTGACATATATCTCACAGTTCCTGTATTATATTTTAATTGGTAGTATCAAGAAAAGTGGTTATTAACCTCACTTAAGAAAATCTTTTTAAGTCACAATCCTGTTTGGTGTAAACTTAAAAAACCTTTTTGTTTATATGAACAAAGGATTAACAGTAACATGCTTCCTTTCCAAAGAAAGAATACAAGGACACAAGATAATTAGACTGAGAAATCAATACTTGTAAGGATTATTGGAAAGATTCATGTAAAGTTAATAAAACTGTTGCAAACTGTTATCTCATGAAAAAATATCATGTTTTTAAAAACTGTTCAAGATTGAAAGATTAAAAGAATGGGACTTGTTGTATAATTAGTAGTTTCCTCCTAAAAACCGTTGAGTTTAGGCATTCATTCATCAAGTGTGTTACATGCATATCTTATATACAAAAGGTCAGAATGGATTTTCATACTTTGAGGGCTTGTTTTCATAGATTAAAACTGAATAAGAGAGGTTATATAGTTTTTGGCTACAGTTCCACTACAATATATTAATTTTAGATACATAAGAGTGTTTCAGAAGGATGTTTAAGTTTAGAGGTTTAGTAGATAACAAAAAAGCCATTGCTGTTAGTTCATACCAGCACATAGAAAGTGCAGAGCAAGCCAAATGCATCCTTAAGGAGATTATAGCTTTATACTTAAAACAGGGAAAAAAATTGACAATACATTTGTCTTTTGGTGAAAGTAGAGAATCTTCTTTAACTTGCAAGATTGGTTCTCTCTTCTCAACCCAGAATTGCTGTTTGAAGTGCCAGTCTTGCAACTTCTAGTTAAGAAGAGGTTTTTACATCAGCTTGATGAGCACCTACTGCAGCTATTGTTCTTATACCACTTAAATGAGCCATGCAGGAACCTCTCTCATCATGCTGTCCAGACCCAGAGAAGTGCTGTGTCTGCCTGAACTTTTTATATCTCTGATCAGTGATTCAGCAGTTGCAAAGTTCATAGGAATAGAAGTGGGAAATGGCTTTAAATTGAAAGAAGGTAGATTTAGATTAGACAATAGGAAGAAATTCTTCACTATGATGATAGTGAGACACTGGCACAGGTTTCCTAGAGAAGCTGGGGCTACCCCATCCCTGGCAGTGTTCGATATCAGGTAGGATGGCGCTTTGAACAGCCTGGTCTAGTGGGAAGTGTCCCTGCCAGTGGGAGGGGATTGTAACTAGATGATCATTAAGGTACCTTCCAACTCTAATCTTTCTATCATTATAAGAATCGACATTCTTACCACTGATCCTGTTGTCAGCTGAGAATCCATCACCTCGCTTTGACCAAAGATATTTTAATTTTAACTAACGCATGTCACAGCTTTCACAGTAAGTTATATGCTGGCTTGCTCTTGAAAAAGCCAGCACTGCTATTATCCTGTCAACAGCAGGTTTCAAAAGGAATTCTTTTGGTGAGTCTACCTTCTGCGCTGTGCCCCTCAAATTTACAGTTCATTCCTGCAGAGGGTTGTCTTGCTGGTTTAAAGCAAGACATTGTTTGCAGTTGTTTTCATAATGCTTTCCACTTACTGAATTAGTTTTCTTTAGGTAGTGCTTTGGAAGACCATTTGAAAACGCATTTTTAATAAACCTATACAGTGAGAGGGGAGAGAGAGAGTGGGGACAGAGTCCCTATACAGGTATCTAAACTAATTGGTTTTGTTCTACAATACCTTTGAAGGTACTTTAGCAAAAGACATTTAATGAACTCCTGTTCCATGACATAGATTTAAACTAAAACAATCAAGAAACAAATATTTTAGGAAAAGCACTATTATCTCCTTAAATAATATTATCATATATTTGGTACTGATTTATCCTTATTGAGAAAAATAGTTTCATTGTTCTAAATGAGCATTTACAGTATATTTTGGACCTATTACAAGAACTGTTGAAGTGAGAAGCTATTGGGATGACCTGAATAATTTTCTTGAAGCTTTACTATTCTTGAGTAACCTATCTCACATGGGTGCCAATGCAGCCTTCATGCCAATCCACACCATGCTATCGAATTAATTTTCTCTCCCTCATCTAACATAGTTTTCAGCATCTGTGCCAAAGCCAAACTGCCATGATGAGAGTCACAAGTTTGGAGAAAGAGGGGATGAAGGTTACATAAACCTGAGAATATTTTGACAGAAAATTGTCCAAGGTGGTAAGGCAGAACTTTGTGAAGTGCATATCAAAACTGCAGGTCATATAGAAGAGACTGGGTCAGATTCTGCTCTCATTTAACAACCAAGCTCTGTTATAACTGGTAGGTTTCTTTGTGTAAGTGAGAGGGGGCTTTGGCTCAGCATTTATCTAATAGGTTAAATGTAAATACAGTCCAGTAGGGAGCTGTATTTTCCTGACTAATCTGTATTACTGCTGGGAGTTAAACTATGTGTGTCCTTTTCTTATATTAAAGAAAATGAGTAGGAGAAATATAATCTAATCACTTGCTGATATTTCATAGAGGTGGGAGTAGGAAGAGGCTTTAGGTTTCTTCAACTGTTTATTCTGCTTTATTTTTCTTCTGAACATGAGTCTCTCTTCTCAGGAAAACTGCTGGTTCGGATGCAGTCTTACTGAACCTCTGCCCAGTGTTTAAACCAAATTGAATCTGAGACTTTTCCAGGAAGACTGGGAGGAGATGTGAGAATTGTTTAGAACTAAGATTAAAAAAATAAATGTGGTATCTCTGCACTGCTGCATTCACTTGGGATCTGAACTCAGGTCAGATGGGCCACACTTACCACAACTCCTGGGAGGACCCAGCCAGGAAAAGTTCATTCTTCTTAGGTTGTCAAAAGAGACATAGGCATTTTATAAGTGACCTTGACAGCAAATTCTTTGATCTCTCACACTATTAGTCCTTTAGGGCCAAACTGGGAAGGAACACCTAGTACAGCAGGGAAGGAGAAGGGGAACTCTGGCCAGAATCCTTCCTGCCCCATAGAAAGCCCGTGGAAACTAGATCCCTGCCAGCCAGGAGAGGCCTTTTGATAAAGATCAAAAGCAAAATGTTTGAAATAGCAGAAAATATTTACAACTATTCATGATGACAAATCTAATGTGACCAAGAAAGAGCACTTCTAACCTACCTTGTAAACATTTTCAGTTTCATCTGCACTGCTCAAGTGAATATAGGAGCATTAAAGAGAGACACTCTGTGGCAGGATTTGACCTGTGCAATAATGTTTATTGACAGTGAAACACCCCCTTTTTGAAATTCCTTTGTGTATATACAGTGCTGGCATTTTTCCATACCTCCTCAATCTCTAAAGGTGCTGCCTATGTTGTTTAGTTGTGTTAGCAGTGACAAGAGGAAGTTGTCTTCCTGGGTGCTGAAGAAGACCCACATGTGCTTTCTCTCAGGGAACAAAGAAATGGTGAAAGGTGGAGAAGGAACAGGGAGGTAAGTTTTTTGTAGGAGTCATTCTATTTTAATTAATGGGATAAAGTGAACACAGAGGTGTTAGCTGTTTCATAGAGGGAAGGATGGAAGTTCTCTTTCTGCTCTGCTTTTAGAAACACTTTCCAAATCTTTCTAATACAATGACCTACCTTTTTTTTTTTGTGATTTTTCCTCATTTCTGAGCTGGATAAATCAAATTTAATTCCAGTGGAGAGAATTTCTATAGACACAAAGCTCCTCTGAACTAAGGTTGTGCAATTAGAAGCCGAGGAAACTTATCTAGACTGTGAATTGATGAGTCAGTTCTGAATAGCAGGAGTGATTTATGAAACATTCTGTATAATATCTAAAACTCAAATGAAACTA